TAGTTTCTGGTCTTACATTTAGATCTTTAATCCATTTTGAGTTTATTTTTGTGTATGGTGTTAGAAAGTGTTCTAGTTTCATTCTTTTACAGGTGGTTGACCAGTTTTCCCAGCACCACTTGTTAAAGAGGTTGTCTTTTTTCCATTGTATATCCTTGCCTCCTTTGTCGAAGATAAGGTGACCGTAGGTTTGTGGATTTATCTCTGGGCTTTCTATTCTGTTCCATTGATCTATATTTCTGTCTTTGTGCCAGTACCATATTGTCTTGATGACTGTGGCTTTGTAGTATAGTCTGAAGTCAGGCAGATTGATTCCTCCAGTTCCATTCTTCTTTCTCAAGATTACTTTGGCTATTCGAGGTTTTTTGTATTTCCATACAAATTGTGAAATTATTTGTTCTAGTCGAACATGTTTTTATCTTAACCCTTAAACTGCATTAAGCTAACCTCTGAATGAAGATTAATTTGTAGTTTGAGAGGAAGGTGCTCCAGGGAGACAGGACTTGTGGGTAAGAGATGGGAACAAACTTTTGCTGTTGATTAGAAAATAACTGACTATAGACTCAAAGTCAGACAAACTGCTTGAGTTCTTGCTTCATATAGAAGCTGTGTGGTCACAGGCAAGCTATGTGACCTCATGGGCCTTAGTTTTCCCATCTGTCCAGTGGGAATGATACAAGTATTTAATTCATAGTTTGCCCTGCCCCCATCCTTAATGAGGGCAAGCATTAATAAGACATCGAAAACATTTTATAATTCAGAAAGTTTATGTGAAAGTTAGCTTATTGAAGTATACTTTCTAAACAGAAAAGTCAGCTTCCCAAGATGGGCTCTTTTCCTGTTTGTTAAGTGCCTTTTTGGTGCCATAAATTATTAGGAGTGGGGACATACAAATGAATAAAATAAGTTTCTTGTCCTCAAGGGGTTCATAGTACTTGGAGCTATAAATAAGAAAACAGACAATAGCTGTAGAGTGTAAAAAGTGCTAAGCACAGGGTAATTGATTCCTTTCTTCATCAAACATTTATTGAGTGCCTTTCCCCACAAGGAGATGTGCTAGATGCTATTGATACAGGAACAGTGATTAGGAAGCCCACTGAGAAGACTGCCAGGAGGCAGTGTCATTGAGCTTGATCGTAAAGTTTGAGGAGGAGCCAGTCCAGGGAAATTTAAGGTTAGGGTACTACTGGTGGGGTGCATCAAGGCATGGAGGTGAGCACCCACATGGGGACTTGGGGCCACTTCTCACTTCTCAGCACCCTGTGTCATGTCAACACCATTGTGAGAAATCACCCTGAAGGATGACTAGAAAGCTTGGGGAGCCTGGCTGACCCAGAACACTGTATAACTGGTTCACACTGGGTCAACAGTGTGCCTGATATCCCCAGGGGGAGTGCCTGTCAATTTCCAATTACCCAACCGTGTTGTCTCAACCCAGTCCTCCTGGTTCTGCATGGTTATGCACACTTGTGCACTGTGAATGACTTTTAGAATACCAACTAGCTTAAATATTGGCTCAACCAATAATTAGGTTAATTAAGGTAATAATTAAAAAGATGGATATATTGTGCAGGAAGTCATTTATGATATGCCAAGACCAATTAAAATTAAAGTTAACTGCCATTTGGGGCTCCCTGTATCCCTGACCTCACTGTTGGCTCAGACTGTCTTTGACTGTGCGTCTTAAGGAAGCCCCCTTCCTTCATGCTCACGCCTGCTGCTCAGAGCTTACAGCCGCCAAGGCAAAGTAAAGAGAACAAGTGTCCTGCAGGGTTACAAGCCCATTGTCTGCTGCAGAGAAATGTCTCATTGCCTTCAAGAAGCAAAGGAAAAGATCATCTGACTTCATTTCCTCATCAAGATGGATGATATCCAAGTGTTGAAACTGAACTAGATGCTTAAACCCATTTCCTTCCAAGGCCAGGCCCTGGCAGCATTGTTTCCCTGGGCTGATGTACCTGACCCTCAGCGACAAGCTAGATGAGCTCAATATGAAAGGGCATTTAATTTGATTTCCAGGATGATGTATCCCCCAAAGGTACAGAATCCCCTAAGGAGATAAGATGGTCTTATTATTCACTGGGTAGAGTTATCCAGACATCTCTGAGTGCAAGAAGGAGCAGAAACAAGTCATATAAATGGGTACTGGAGTCTGACATCTTTGCCCAAGTAAGACTCATTTTTTTGAAGGATTGCCCTTCTGGGCAAGGTAGCTGAGGATTCTGTGTCACTCCTACTTGTATCTTACATACCAGCCTCTTCCAGCTATCACATCCTGGCTGACATGCTGTGCTCTAAGTCATTTCTACTTACGATAATAAAAGTGATGACTCTTCATGCTGATGGGGAAGAAAGAATGTTAGCTTGTCTCTTTAGGTTGGTTCTTGTTGTAAGCTGCATATGGCCCTTGCTGAACTCAGCCCAGCTCTGGGTCTCCATCTTAGGCTCAGACCAACTTGTCTCATACTTTTCTCTTTGTCAAAGTTCCCAGGAACTCAGCTTTCTACCATTAGCCACTCTGCTCCTGGGGTTCTTCCCCTGCTGAGGTTCATTGTGGAGGGTATCTCAGCTTTCTCCCTCCTTTTTGCCTCCAGAATGACAAATACCCAGGTCCCCTTTGCCCCAAACCATTTACTACAAACCCAGAGCTTTGGCCTTTGGTTTCCATTCTTGAGTGTATGACTCAACAAACCCCAGGGTGGCTGACTCTGTCACTACTAAATGATTCAGTCACAAACAGCAGCCCCACAGCCTGTGAGGTTGAGATTTGTGCTTCTGCAAAATCACACACTTCCACATGTCAAAGATCCTTGGGTCTGCTGGTAAATGGTAGGTGATAATGTTAGCTTCTTGGATACCAAGGATCTACTGAATTAGTGTCATTGAGTCCCAAAGTGTACATGGGAAATAAGAATTTAATTGGGAATGGCTACCATTACTGTTTGCCAGTGCAAAAGATAACTAGAATAAAGAGATATCAGTCCGGGGAACTTTTCCAAGTGCATTTTATGGCCTAGAAGTAATGCTTCAATCTTCTTTGGCACCAGCAGTGCTTTAAGTCTTCTTGTTTCTGTTTCCAGACTCTCATTACATTGCACTGCCTGGGGTACATAGTTGTCATGTGGCTATTTTCTTTTATGGTGACTTTGAATGTGGAGTTGGAGCTACTTGGGCTTCCCTGGTGGCTGAGATGGTAAAGAATATGCCTGCAATAAGGGAGACCTCGGTTCAATCCCTGTGTCAGAAAGATCCCCTGGAAGAGGGCATGGCAACCCACTTCAGTATTCTTGCCTGGAGAATACCATGAACAGAGGAATCTGGCAGGCTATGGTCCATAGGATCATAAAGAGTTGGACATGACTGAGTGATTAACAATAGCAACACTGGTGCTACTTACTTGGGAGAACCAATCTCTGGTCTATAGGAAGAAGAAGGAAATGATAATTACCAACTGAGAGATTTCTGTCCAGAAACTGACTATGTTAGACCAAATACAGGGAGATAAGACAAAATGCTATCATAAAACCATAGGAGATACAGGGAAGGCTTGAAACAGGGGTGTAGTAGTGGGGTTGGAGAGGAGGAGATGGTTCAGAAAGGTGCTTAGTAAGTCAAGTAATCAGAGCCTGTGACTAGTAAACTGGAAGAAGTAATTTAAGGAGATTTCAAAGTTTCTGAGGCAATTAAGTAAATATAGGAGACACAGAAGTGATGTTGGAGAAGACTCTTGAGAGTCCCTTGGACTGCAAGGTGATCCAACCAGTCCATCCTAAAGAAGATCAGTCCTGGGTGTTCATTGGAAGGACTGATGCTGAAGCTGAAACTCCAGTACTTTGGCCACCTCATGCCAAGAGTTGACTCATTAGAAAAGACCCTGATGCTGGGAGGGATTGGGGGCAGGAGGAGGAGGGGATGACAGAGGATGAGATGGCTGGATGGCATTACCGACTCGATGGACATGAGTTTGAGTCAACTCCGGGAGTTGGTGATGGACAGGGAGGCCTGGCGTGCTGCAATTCATGGGGTCGCAAAGAGTCAGACACGACTGAACAACTGAACTGAACTAAACTGACTGAGGAGACACAGGAGCTATAAGAAGAATGAAGGTGTGGTAGGGAAGTTTTAAGAAGTTTGTATCATCAAGACAGTATGGTACTGGCACAAAGACAGAAATATAGATCAATGGAACAGAATAGAAAGCCCAGAGATAAATCCACAAACCTATGGTCACCTTATCTTCGACAAAGGAGGCAAGGATATACAATGGAAAAAAGACAACCTCTTTAACAAGTGGTGCTGGGAAAACTGGTCAACCACCTGTAAAAGAATGAAACTAGAACACTTTCTAACACCATACACAAAAATAAACTCAAAATGGATTAAAGATCTAAATGTAAGA